TCAGAATTTCCGATGCCTTCAGAACGAATGATGTTTGAACAACATTTGAATAATGCTTGATTAAACCAACACTGTAAGCTCGGTTGGGTGTCCAAATGCATGCAGTTTATCTTCATTTTTATTTAGTCTTTTGTAATAATAGTCTTATAGAATAACTATTAGTACATCACGACGAACAGGCCCAGATCCCATCACAAAATAATAATGACTTAATCATTCAACAAGAACCCCATCGTACCACGCTCATACTTTTCGCTCATATTCCATTCTGACCCCATGTGGCTGCCCAAATAGCAAGCTTTCGCCCTGGCCTTCTGGAACACGACCGGCTCCGAGCACAGCCAGCCGCCGCCGGGGGATATCCCAGCCCGGATGGCTGGCGGGCGGATTGATAGGCGGCCGCGGGGGGGGAGGGGGGGGGGGGGGGGGGTCGCAGCGTGCCAACAGCCGTCGAGGAGTTTCCGCCGGGGCGTGGACCATTAACAATCAGCTGGCGCCGTCCCGGGGCGGGACATGGTCGCTGCCAGCGGTCCCGCTGGAGGGCCGCCACCATGCGGGTACGCGCATCGGAACTGGGCTGATCACGGCCCCGGGATATTTTGTTGAGCTGTTTACGCCTGCTATAACAAGAGCCGATAAGATGTTTTATGGTCAGCAAAACGTTTAATTGCCAAATGGAAATGACTGAAAGCTATGGCTGTTTGCAACATTCGACGGAGTCGGGCAGAAACTTCGGCGACAGCCCGCATGACGGCTGTTCTCGTGGGAGATCGAGTGCAACGTACATGTTGTCCTTTCCTGGCCAAAGATCATAACTGCTAGATACAAATACCTTCTTCATTTTACGATCACTCATCATCAATAACATTTCCAAAGTCGGCAAACGTACAGGAGCAAATAACGTGGAAAATATTACCAATTCCACGTTTTTTGGAGCGTTGCACTGCAGAGGTCAGTGAGGTTAACTTAAAGGAAATATGCTCCCATTTAAAGCATTTTGTACGAACATCAGTTTCTTCGGTTACTGATCATCGATTCACATAATGGCGCATGAAGTCATGAACCCATATGACCAAAAACATATCCTGTTTGGAATAAAACGAGCGAGACGATAAAAATGGATGTTGCCATGTGAGAGGCAATTCCGTTATTCATGCAGTGTTGTCTATAACCCGCCATTGACCGAAGGTGGTCAAACCTGCCCTCTGTCCAATATTCGCGATAATTAAGGAAACGCCTTGAGATATCGCCGCGAAAATTTTGATAGCTGTTAATGAATGAGTTCTACGTCTTGTGCCAGAATAACAACTACGGGACCATAACAGATCATGCGTGAGGGACTTCAGAGTGACGTCAGGTTTGCCGATTTTTTAGAAAAGCACATGGCCAGTGACAAAGTGTTAGAAAAGCCGAACGAAATAACACATTTTTATATCTGTTAGCCGGAAATGAGACGCAATCAATCTATCACCCACATGTCTTTGTGTTGTTTTTCGTCTTAAGCCGTTTAGCCTTTGACACACAATTTAAAAAACAAACAGGCACAGTCATGTCCTATGACTATGAATCATGTTTGTACCAACTTCCCAGCGATGATCTGCAACAATGACTGGGTTATGTCTTGAAATGCATCACAGCGCACGTTGCCCATGCCGAGGCGGGTCCGGGCCGGCGGCGGCGGGCAGCGACGCTCAGGTCCGTCGCGGCGGCGCGGTGACGGGACGGCGGGAGTCGTTCATCACTTTCACACACATACCGACGACCACGTGACTGGCGGCGGGGTTGAGGGGTTTCAGGTTGGGCTGTCGGCAGGAGTGGACCGTCGAAAACAATGCGAAAATCGATCCAACCAACATCGGCTCTCCGACTCTCCGGCGGGGTCATCCATTTGACCTTGACCTTGACGATTTACGACCGGGTAACAGCTCTTGCCCATGCTTCTGATACCCATACTTGCAGATAAGCTCTTCCAATTTGCATTTAGATAGCTCAAATATGACGGACATAAATAGACCAAGATAAACATGCTGACCCGGGTTTCAGCTCTCATTTGCACGGTACGTGACCTTGGCTTTAGGCCTGGTACGGCGCGCGCAACATTGGATGCCTTCCTATTTCGCATGTTTCACCAGGGCACAATTATTTCACACCATGGCATACGCTTCTAAATAGAAGCCGTTATGGCGGCGGTGAGATATTCCAAGGTAGCATTTTGATATCTGACCTTGACCTGTAACATTGCCACTTAAACTTAAGGCTGTTGTGTGGTCTAAAACTGCACGGCGCGGTGCTCTCGATTGCAAATTTGAGTTTTTGAATTGGGCCTGGTCACTCTCGAGGTAACCAGGGGACAAATCTGCGCCCCCCCCCTCCGGCCAATGGTGTGATGCTGAGGAGCCTGGCCAATGTTGGAATAACTCTCACGCGCGTTTTATGTTCAGACAGCGTTCCTTCCTCTTCGTATCACTGGCCGTGACAGTGAGCGCACGGTTTTACTTATGGCCGTTCTGGTTGAGCCTGGCGGCTGAATGAGTTTTTACCTCCACGAACCGGCCTAGAGTCATATCTGTGGGTGAGGGGAAGAAACGACCTCTGAATTTTTGGCAGACAAAGCATTAAGCTAAGCTGACCGTTACTGTTCGGCGCAAAAACGAGAAAAACTTGAAAAAAATGCCATAATCTGGTGATGTTGTCCAGTCGGAAAACCGAAGAAACATACAGCAGCCAACGCGAACTTATTAGCAGCGCACAGGAAACGGATTTCATTGATGCGGTTGGCAGTTGACTGATCACAAATAGCCAGGCTAATCAGCGTCTGACGGCCTCGCTGTATCTAGGGCCCTTAGTGACTCGCGTGCTCCGGTGATCATCAGGGCTCTGTCCAAACCACATACCGCTGCATGTCAGAGTTCCACCCGGGCGGCAGCGACGGACGCCCTTGAAATGTCAGCTCTTCGACTGTCGGCGACACGCAGAGCATTTTCGTATCGCGCAGCATCCTCCTGTAGCTGTCTGCTGCCGACCTCATCCCCTCTCGCACTCGCAATGAATTTCGTACCGGGCTAGAGGATTTCGACAGTCCCGTTGTGCAAGTATTGCTTGCCGTTGTATAACATGTGTTGACGACTTATATTTTGACTATTGATGCCGCTTTTGACGAAGTTGTGTGAGCGACTGGGTGCTCGATAACTTGCGAATGTAGTCGCGTTGATGTCATGTTTTTATATTGCATTTATAGTACTTTTGTAATTTGGCTGAATCAAGCAAAAAGCCAGTTGTTGGACAGATTTGTAAATACGATGATATGAATGAGCTGAGTTTATGGCACCTCCAGATGCCGTTTTTTCCTGACTTTGAGCATCTTGTTTGGCCAGTTGGGTAAATGTAAACCATCATCTTTTAGTGTGCTTGATGCTACTCGTATTGCTAAAAAATTCTAAAGGTCGAGGACACATTTGGTAAAGTTGGGGAAAAGCTGTACGTTGGAATGGATTGGAGCTTTTCAACTGAGCACGATTCTACACCTTCGGTACCAGGGTTAAGCTGTGACCAACGGCCCCTGACAAAAATTATAAATATCCACCACCATCTAAATCTTTAAGAACTTGAGCGCGCTCAAAGCGAATGAACGCTACAGTGAAATGCATGCAGCGGAATTATTTTGTCTTGGCATTTTTGCCGGGTTACAAGGTGTTGTAAATTCAAATGACCTTAACCTTGGCGAAATGCTGGATCCGGTGTCGCCATAGCTTGTGCTTCCACTAGAGACGCCACTTTTTACAAAATGTGCAACATCGGTCCGCAGCCTAGCCTACGCCGGTCAGTTAAGGATATAGCCCACAAAAGCCCGCTATTTTACCATGCCGACCGGGTATTAACCCGCAAATGCTAAGTTGAGTGCAGTGTATATTTTTCGTTGCGTCTTAATTTTAAACCTACGGAGGGCATGTGTATGACAAATATTATAGCGGTGTAATGAAATGCGCAACATTGTTTGCCTAATACCTGTGATGTGGCATAGTGAGCATTGATAAAATCACCTCGGCTATGAAATTTCTGAGAATTGAATTACCTGCCTTTAACACTCAGGTCACATGCATGAAAGAGGAGGAGGAACGTTGAATTTGCAAGTGCCCCTGATCAAAATATACCAGCCAGTTTCCCCTGTGCCTCTTCTTAGTAAGCCTTAGTAAGCAATAGGCTGGGGCTTACCCAACCTTGCCTGCATCAAGTTATCGGTTGTGCATACTTACGTAGTTCCTAAAAACGTCTGAGCTCCCATTCGCTTTTGCTCCCATATATGTTAGACAATGACGCTGGTCGAGCATCCGGCCTGCTCGTCATGGACTTTGTAGAACATCTTGTTGGTGTTAAAAAATATTGCTTAAGAAAGTTGTTTATTGAGCTTGGAAAGTTAAGTTGGTAAACCATCTTATTGGCGAAGAATAAAAAAGTGGACGGTTATATGGTCAACTTTGATTAACCTCTAGAGCAAGAAAGAAGCCACTTTGATCTGTTCAGCACAGATACCTCCATTTTTGTACAGAAAGCATCCGACCAAAACTGACACTCTGTTGAGGTGGGCGTTACTTATTTCAGGACATTCGAACGACACGCACGATCTACGAGCGAGCCGAACACCTGTTTCAACGACGACGTTCTAAAGAACCCAGCTGAAAAACAGGATGTTGTTTTTTACACAGGTAGCACGGTTTAAAGGTCTTGATAAAGAGGACTGCATATACTGAATAATCAAGCAGATTCATGAGGCTCTGTTAATTGGACGAGAACATCTCCAACTATGCACACACCTGCGTAATGAGGATGAATCAGACAGCAGAAGGTATTTCCTGCGAATGCTGCCCCTCCCAGCCAGCTGTGGCCCCCATCATCAGTGACATGTAAGTGCCCGCATCTGGCCCGGAGGCGACCTTGGACACCTGCTCAGGCAGAAGGGAGGGCTGGGGACCGAGCCGTCGCGCCGCCGCCGCCGCCGCCAGTCTCGCGGCGCACCTCGGGAAGGAGCCACGCCATGCAGCTCCAGCTGACGCCGATGCTGCTGCTGCTGCTGCTGCTGGCCGCCGGGCCGGCGCGGGGCGCTGCACCGGAGGTCAGCCTCACGCAGGGCAAGCTGGTCGGCCGGATCGACAGCAGCGCCGCCGGCCAGCCCTTCCACTCATTCCAGGGAATCCCGTACGCCCTACCACCGGTCGGCGAGCTACGCTTCAAGGTGAGCTCGAGCACTGACCGGGTGATGTCCGGTCAGTCTGAGATCTCTGCATATGATGATCTGTAATCGTCGCTGGAGCTGCCATTTTGGAGGCCGAATGTTCGCAAAAGCTGGCGTACAACGTCCGCAGCGCTTGTTTCGGGCCTAACAGGCAAGGAAGGAGGCATTGGTGTTTTGCAGAACGGAAAATTTCCACATTATTGCATTTGCGGTCCTAGAAATACATATTTGGAGGTAAAATTAAACAAAATGGTCAAGTCAGCAAACCAAACATCGCATTTCATGGCACAAAGATTACACAGCAAGGCTAAATACATATGACAAGTTGTTAGAAGCTCAGCACCATTCATACGTTGTAATGCGTAACAGAGCCTAAAGTGTTTTTTTTTTTGCTTTCATTGAAATGAATGTCCTGCACGATAAACACAAGGCATGATGTCGTGTGATGTAGCCAGAGGCAGGAAGACAGGTCAGGGTGAGTGGTTGAAAAAATAGGATGTCTGTGGTGGCATTGATCACAAAATATTATTTCATTGCGATTTTATTTGATAAGGCACATGCTGGAATCTCAATACACCCGCATATTTGTGTGGCGAAGCAGTAAGCTCTCTACTTCTTGTAACATATATGAATACGGGCTCATCGAGTATGACCTATTTAGATAGTGACGTACAGAAAGCTGAGTCTTTGAATTAAACTCCTATTTTTGGCCTTGATTAGATCACACTATGCAAGGGTATAATACCGTACCACACCATACTAACATTAGGCAGAACAGATGTTCTAGGCGAAACAAACTCTTACTCCCCATATTGCCTGGCCACAGATTCGCAGTTCAACACGTGCCTGTGCACCAGCTTTGCAACCGTCACTTTCGACTGGTGTGCGGCTTGCCCGCATGTGTGTACTAGTTGCCATATTTTAAGTACTCTTCCTTGGGATCTTTAAGCAAATACTGAATTTTGAATTAAAGATGATACCAGCGCTTCCCATGTGGTACAGACTGCGGCCTTTAACAGTACAGATTACTGTCCTGAACAGAACTGTTCATGACGTGCTTTGGTAGGCACTTAAATAATAATGCCTTTGGTTATAAATCAGATTTAAAATACACAACATCTACAGCGTAATAGCCTAACATTTATTCACATGCCATCATGAAGAAATACAGCGAGTGGTAGGTCTCGTTGGCGTGAGGTCAACGGCAGCACGCAGCGCGTGCTGCAAGGTGTGTTTTTAGGCAGTTATTTTTGCACGATGGCGCAACCGTTCGGACTAACCACCGTTTGATCCACCCTATCCCGATGACCACGGGTCGGAGCCACGATTGTGAGGGGGCCTTTTTTGGCGTATAATTGAAAGGAGAAGGACGGGGTGCCGCGTGTGTGGTTGCACATGCCATATACCACGTACACCGAAGCAATGAAAATATATTTTGCCTGTTTTGATGGCTTTTATTTGTATGTCGTATCTTTGCGCCACAGCAAGTGGGGGCATGCATCAAATTTTACAGCGCACAGCGCACGGATTGAGCCAGAAATAACTTCTAAATATGCATGAGTACTTGTGCCGAAACTTTGTTAATTTAAAAAGTCCATGCCCGCCATATATAAAAATTTTAAAACCCATCCCGCCCGCAGGATAATTTTTGTGAAAATTGCACGCACAGGTGCGCAGCATTGTCTTTATTCCTAGTAAATATTTCGAATCTACCATAATTTCAGTCCCACAGCTATAAACTATAGCCAGTCCACAAGACCGTTTGCTGTCCTAATTCAGTTTTCAAGACCAGCACTGACGAATCTTATTTGTCACTCCTGACACATATGCTTGTACATAATCTCAACATACTCTTTGAACGCTAAGAAAAAGCTAAGAAATATATCAGTACTTATTGCCTTGATGCCTGTTTCCAAGGCAAGAGTTCTTGCTTGAGCTACCACATTCCGTTTACTTCAAGGCTTAGGACTTTGGCTCATTGCAAAGAAACTTCAGACTCTCAGAAGGACCAAAACACACAGCGATCTTGGTCAACTATATCACATTTGTTGACCAAACCAACATCCTAATGGTTCTCAAGCGGCACTCAAAATTATATAAATAACAGATGATAAACCAAGACTTTGAAAGAAAGAAAATGACAAGTATTACTCTACTAGACATTACTCCACTTACCTTTCCTAAATTGACTTGTTCACTTAATTTGCATTGTTACCTTTGATCATGTGATCCCTTTTACGCCCTGCATTTTTTAAAGACAAAATGCAACATCAACGGCATCAGGGTGGCTGGTATTTGAAACCATACAAACGTCATTTTCACGAAACAGCGTTATGTATACTGGAAAACGCAGGACCACACATATGCATACGCGCAGTAGCGCAGGCAGGGGGAGTACAGGGGGCACGGGCCCCTCGGAACCTACGATTAAGGGTCCGAAAAGTCAGACAGGAGCCTCATTTATGGGCCCTGGCCTGTAGGACCAGTCACTCCAACGCCAGCCAGAGGGCCCTGCGCGCTGGTCAGAGGCCTACTGAGTTGATAAGGGCGTATATTTCGGTCAGACACCACCAGTAACGCATAGTCGGCTCCGTGGCAGCATGGGCCTAAGGGCTGATTTCCCAAGCAGGGACAAATCCACCTTGTTGCCGACAAAAAAAAAACATCGAGTTACATTGTTACCTTTTGTGTGTGGGGGCCCCTGTGTGGGGGCCCCACACCGTCCAACAGGGGCCATGTGTTGTCAAGGAGTTCCAAGTCGGCCAGAGGTAGTGTTTGTTGAGGCCCAAAAAGCCTAGAGGGCCCACCCGGTCCGACGATCAAGGGCCCGATGGGAGCGTCTAAGGGCATAAAAGGTAGGTTAGAGTCTTATTCAGGGGCTCAGACCTGTGAAGACGGGCCCTCAATAACAGCCAGAGGGCCCGTTGCTCCATTCGGGGACCCGCGAGTCGATATGGGCCTAGGTGTCGGTCAGGTACCACTGTACCACATAGTCGGCTCCACGTCGGGCCTGGGGACGCACTTCCCAATCCGCTGAGGATCCGCTTCCCAATCAGCCGAGGATCCGCTTCCCAATCAGCTGAGGATCCGCTTCCCAATCACATGCTTCCCTGAGAACGTTCATTATTTTGCAGAATCGACAGATGAAACAAATGCCTTCAAAAAGCTTCAGCCCGAGTGCGGGGTGCCAATACTGTGGTGGTTCACGTGCTTGCATTAACAACTGCGCGTCTGGGAAACCACAGGGACGGGGTTCGATGCCCACCCTTCCCGCCAGGGTGAGAGGCTGAGAGGCGCCATGTAACCCAAGCAGCTGAGTGTGTCATAAAGCCTCAATGACACGGTTGTTGTCTCGGGGAGCAATGATAGTGATGGCTTTGGCCGTAATTTTCGTAAAACCGAACGGCGTTGGCCACTGCAAGTGACGTCAAACGGCGTGCACCGAGCGCGCGACAATGACCGTGGGAAAAATAATGTTTTTGAATGTTTGAATGTTGAAATAATGTTCTTGAATGAAAAAGTAATTCGTACGGCTCAGAGATTAAACGGGCAGATTTTTTGCAACTTTGAGGATGTCCTCCGGACACATTAACAGTTACAGCAACACGACAAATGGGATTTGTGGATTGATTGCAATTTGAACATCTCTCACTTACTTATGAGGAACAGTCCAGACCAGCCGACAAACTAAAATGCACCAACGTAGTGTGTCAATTCAAATGCAATATCGAAGGCTGCGAACTTCGTTCCATACACTACATTGGTGTGACCACAACGACACTCTCACGACGCCCGACAGAGTTGTCCCGCCCTTACGTGACGGGGCAACTCTGGACCTTATGCGACACGAGCATGACAGGATATTGACACGAAAACAGCTGACGGCCATCACTGACATTCTTCAGACGTGCAATAACAGAAGACACCTTCAAATTTGGGAAAGCTATTTATTAACAAAAATTTTCTAGCCCTAAAGAGACGAAAAAATTCTTGCACCACCCTTGAGTTAATGGGTGGTGGCACCCTTTTCTCAAAACAACCTCTTGGTGACCCGCATCTTAGTCTCCTCTCGCTCATCATGAAATTTATGCACAGTATAAGATTATCTGGTTTTAATAAACGGGGAATTTTGGCAAGCCGCACCATCCAGCAAAAACTCGTGGTTACGCAAGATCAGTATCCCCTGCGCACAATCCCGTTTTTGTTATTCAAACCTTTTTAAGATTAGGACGTTGTAAGACAGACGGACATAGACAAGGTCGCGTTTAAAGCACGCTTATTGGCTGAGTTCCCCTTCCTACGCTTTGATAGAAATGCAACTCTAGGGTAAAAATGATCACAAGCCTTTGTGAACAATGGTGTGTTGAATTTGGGTTACACACGGAAGCTCTTTCTCGTCGTTTAATTCAAATACATGTCCAAGGGATCATCCGTTGCGCTGATGCACACGAATCGACCGTCCTTTCCCTTCATTGCGCGCACTGATGTCTGCCTGAGTAACGTGAAAACCATGAGTATATGAATCTATTTTCCCTTTCATTTCTTTTCCTGCCCAGTGTCAGGCGGCATTAGCCGGCCAAATTATTGTTATTCTTTGGCACCGGACTTCCACGCAACGGGCTTAACGCCCCAACCTCCAAGCAGTTTCGGAAGATCGCTTGAGATAAAACGGAAAGGAAAATGCTGATCGGTCTCTTTAAAGCCTCTGCTTGCTCTGCGATTTTAAAGTTTCTTCTCTTCGGCCGAGCTGGGCGTTAGGGGAGAATATTGAACAATTGCACATCGCTGATTTAGTTAGGAAAGCGGTCGCCAATTACAGGTGCAGGCCTTAGGTGATTTGTTACATTTTATTGACTCGCGGCGGTTCCGAGCCATAGTTCTAAATTACGAGACGTTTCGCCGTCAGCCACGATGACACTGGATCTGTATACACTGTTGAAGGTGATCTTAGGTTCCAATTAACGTCATTTTCATCATTGTATGGCTGCTTTTCAGACCGGAATGGTGGAGCTTTCAAATCTTTTGTAGGCTTTTGCAACGACCATCTTACAGAACACCCCGGTGGAGAGGGAAAGGGTTGCATTAGCGATCACCGGCCCATTTTTCTAAGTTTCACGTCATTTTCCCCATGTTACTGCACAGCCTAATGTTGCCCTCTGTCATATCCATTGACACGTATGCATATCTGTCTCTGAGCAAATCACAATAATGGATCGGCCTAGAAACCGCACAAATCATGCCAAACATGTCCGTACAAAGTGAAAATGCACGTTGTGTATGCAATGCAACAGCTCATTTTATATATTCGTAAGCTTTCGGCACAATCATTTAGTAAATCAGCACGCAAGCACCTATGTTGAATAAACATGCTTATCTGCTTATTCCTTTTGTCTTGTTATGGAAGACTTCTGCCGCATTATGCAATGATTCCTACGCATCTTGAAAGATGGACTTACGAGCTCTAACGTTTTTACTTTTTTGCGTGGGGGACGCGATCTCAAATTGAAGCTGTGGCACGATGTGCGTTTTTCAGAATCTCATTAAGTTGGCTGCCCTACTCGCCCCGCTTGACCTAAGCGGTGAAAGGGGCTCGCAGCTCTATTTATCGGCCACGCGCGCCGTTACATACCTGGGGACATCCTTCCGCGCTATCTGGCGGTGGGCCGATACGGACATTATGGCGGCGCGACAGCAATAAAACTCGACAAAGTCCCGTGGCGTCCGGCCCAGCGACCGCTCGTGACTCGACTGGCGACGGCTGGACTCGAGTCAGCAGCCTGGCCGCAGCTGGCTCCTCAGAGTCCCGCCGCGTCCCGCCCGGCCACTCGGCTTTCGTGCGCGGAATTGATTTCGACCGCGCGAACTGCTGCGAGTCGGCCGCGGCGTGGCCGCGATGTGGCCGCCGCAGCAGTGCGAATGAGTTGCCGCCGGGTAATGACTCGTTGTTAATGCAGATGACGCCTGCTGATGTGTATTGACCGGCTGGCCGAGACTAGGCGGACTGGCCACGGAACTGATTGGCTTGGACAGCAAGCACGGCAGCTAATTGGGGAGTGGGGGGGGGAGGGGGGAGGGGGCAGCGTGAGCTCTGGTGGAACACCCCATGATAACGATGGAGGTATAAACGTTATTGCTCGACGTACGCAAAATCTCATGGTGGTTCCAATCTTGTGGTTCTCTCTCCTAATCCCTTTTTATCCCACGGTCACGCGAAAGTGGAGAAACGGTTCGTAGAAAAGTGTAGGGGAAGCGAGCTTTAGTTACCGTTTGGGCCTGTTTTTCAACAAGGGCGTTGGCGTGAATCTCGCAGCAACACAATAAGTGGAGGATTATTTAAAGTACATGTTTTTAAATCTTGCAGGGTATTTACGGCGGAAATCCAGAAATTTGACTACCATTGTTCGCTTACATCATGAAGGAATGCATCCGATCAAGCCAAGAATATTATTATTACATAGAATATATAAAGTAATGCACCGAGCCTGCCGAACAGTATGGTGTATTTTTGTATCCATGATAGTGATTTGGGTTTTCGGGCGCATCTATTATGCATGTATGAGATATATAGATATGTGATCACCGTCCATTATTTCTGCATTTCGGGGCCGTATTCAGGTGGAGAAACACTGCGGCACATGATCCCCCATCAAACACTAACACGCATTCATAAGCGTAGGAATAATTTCTGCCGATGAAAAAGAGACGTGCACGCGTTAAGATAAGTATATTGTGAAACATGCTATGTTGTTATACGCTATGCCCGAAATTTCGCACACCTACCGCGTGCTAAAATGTTTTTTCAGTAAAAGATTTTGAGCTGTGCCTCACCTCATCGTGAAATTCTGCATGCCTCCCCGTCTTTATCACTCCATTAAAAACAAGTGGCGACCGTCTGCTGACGCCGCCTATTTGTTTTACCCGCCCTCACACTTCCGCTTGTTCCGCGGCGTTTTCCAGCGCACAGCTCCTGCCGAGGGCTGGACGGGGACCCGGGACGCCACGGCTCCCGGCAACATGTGTCCCCAGTTCTTCTTGGGCCAGTACCAGGGCGACGAAGACTGCCTCTTCCTCAACGTCTACACTCCTAAGGTACGCACCTCCCGGCGTTCTTCTGGCGGCCGCTCGTCAAGAGCACGGCATATGTGTATTTTTCAACAGGGTTACTAATGTAATGTAATACCGGTGAGCTTGAATTACGAAGCCCCGGAAAGATCAAATTAGATCCTGAGTTTAAAATGGTTTTGAGAATCCAAAAGTAAGATCCCTTTAAAACCCCTAACAGGTTCCTACATCGCCATAGGAAGACATGGGTCTTCCTAGGCCAAAGGGGCCACAAGTTGGCCTTCTCCCAGGCAAAGTCCTGGCTACGCCGCTGGCTCTCCATCGTGTGCGCGGTTAGAGCCGTCGCGCCGTTTCTCTCTGTTGCCGCATGGAGCGGCAGGGCAGGGAAAGATGATGCTATTATTCAATTATTCAAACGCCCATCCCATTGCTGGCAGCCATAAGTGACCTTGGTTATCAAATTAAATGCCTCCAGAGCCTGCGAACTGTAGCTTGGTGTTGGGCGATTGTTTCACGCAACGTCGCATACGGTTTATACATATATATATATATATATATATATATATATATATATATATATATATATATAATGTTTCGCTCTCTGGTAATGCATTCCACCACCTAACAATAAGGCACTGATGAAACGTTAACCTGCGACGAATGGTGAGGAAGATGGCCATGCAGTCATGGACCATTGGAGCGGCTTGTGCAAGCTGCGCCCACGGCATCAGCAACTGGTTTGAAAGTGCTGGTCATGCCGTGACCTCAGCGGATTCGCGTGTGCAACAGACCCTTCAGCGCCCACACTGCACGCGAACCCGCTCCCAACGCCTGAAATGTTCAGACAAATGCGGCCCTCGGTGACGGAGAAACCGAGAATAGAACGAGAACGGAAGGACCCTGCGGCACAGATGGGGCGTGTGAGGCCAGGGGGGCCGGGGCTCGCGCAGCCTGCCCGGCTCTGCGGAGCCTCCCCTCACGAGCCGCCCTGCAGTGTTCCGCCCACAACGGCGCTCTCGGCGTGCGCCCGGGTCCTCTCCCCCCCCCCCCTTCCTGCCACACCTCTGCTCGGTCGGCAGCTCCCGAGTGAGGCGGAGCGGCCGCTGGACGTCATGGTGTGGATCCACGGCGGCGCCTTCCTCTTCGGCTCCGGCAACCCTGACCAGTACGGGCCCGGCTACTTCATGGACGAGAACGTCGTTCTTGTCACGCTCAACTACCGGCTCGGGGCGCTTGGTACGTATATCGGCTTGCTGGCTGCATTCCTGGCTGGGTGGCGGGTTGCTGGCGTGGGATTGGTCGATCAGCTCCAGAAAAGTGCGCATTCTCAATGTCGTGCGAGCAGTCAACGTTTATGTTAAGATCACAGCGAAGTTTGTAGGTGTATTTCAACATTGTTGTGGCCGCGGGCAGGCAATACTGTGCGATATTGCTGCGGCCGCGGGCAGGCAATGCTATGCAATATTGCTGCGGCCGCGGGCAGGCAATGCTATGCATTTGCCGTCCCCCAGTTCAGGAGGCCCTTTTTAATTGGGCTAAAAGTTTCGTAATCGCATCTGCTATCAAACTCAAATCGAGGAGGCCCTATGGCTAGGCTAGAAGATCCCCAACCGGGTTCTGAAGGCTTTTCTATGCATCAAGAGCATATGCATTTTCTATGCATCTTTTCTTTTCTGGACCAGGAATGCCTTTTTCTGAATGAGTCAGGCAATGCTTTGGATCCTCGTTCATATTTTATTCAGGCCCTACCTGGATTGAATCCAAAGTCCTTGTTTTGTGTTAGGGGTGAGGGGTTCTATTTCTAGGTCAGGACGCCTCTTTTTCGCGTGACCCGTTCCCAAAGATCCTGGCTCGGGATCAGGAGGCACTGGATAGAACGAAGAATCCCTTTACTGGATTGGGATGTGGTCCTATATTACACCGGATCTCGTGATCATTCCACCTTTGGTAAGACAGTTAGCTGTGACACATCATTTTGATCTGCATTCCGATGGACCCGTTTTTGTCCACTCCCGAAATTTCCCACCTAGGCACAATAACCACATCAAATTGTGGCCACTGTGTCTGTAATGCATGACCACACTATGTATACTTCAAACGAGAACACTGAGGCCTTGGTCCCAGAATAATGGCAGTCAGACCGACATCAGGCTACCAGACTGACATAAGCCGTTTTTCCTGAGAAGCTATCATTTATGAGTTTAGAGATCTTTTGCTGAGCTGCCTTATATACCTTCAGTATACCAGGAGGCACTGGTTAAAGGTCGTTATAGAGCAAGCATTGGTTCTGATGACTGTACTGTACTGTACTGTACTGTAGTGTACTGATGACTGTGCTCTGCGATTTAAGCTGTATACTGACTTAATATACATTTTTACCCACAGTTATCAAAAGTCCGGCTGTGGAGCAGCATTTCACAAATCGAAACGCATGTAAAATAGGTGCTATTGCTTTTCACGACTTAAATCTGTCTAGGGGACAAGTGTGTTTTGGTCAACGCCCTGTTCTGCTTCGATCGATTTGGCTTATAGTTCTTTTAAGGTTTTGTTTATTTGATTGGTTGTATTTGACTTTTATCCTTTTTCACTTTTCGAATTCCCAATTTCTTATTTGACTGTTTTGATTTTGACCTCTTACAATTCGGCTTTCTACCCTCTTCACTTTTGCCGCTTTGACATCCTGGATTCGACTTTTATCCCGTTAACTTGTTGCCGCTTACCTTCTCGCCATTCGACTTCTGTCGTCTGGCTTTGTGTCATGTAATCGTCATGTATCAGGTCGATAAAACATGGTTCCATTCATTGGTGTATAATAAGTTTAAAAGAGGATGCTGGTGCTTGAAAATTTATGTTCAGCTACCGGGGGATTAATTAGGCAAACATGCTTCTTTCAATGCTAGTCTTAAATATTCATTTTCCCGACAACATGTTAGAAGCAAGGACAATTACAAAGAGATTAAATACTTCGAAGTCCTTGCCAGCATCTCGGGGCTTTTTGCACTACCTTTTTATTCGCCTTGATATTGTTGCATCTGAAAGGAATCTCGACGTAGACAATCATCGCATTACAACAGTGATGCGAGAAATAGCCTTTCTGTCCTAATGCGTGGAACTGATTAAAAATCGCCCGCGGGGATACTTTGAATTTTGGCTTTAATTGACGTTTGATTCTTTTGAACCAATGTGCGGCAATAGAGAGAGTGATATAGAGAGAGAGAGCTCGATCTCTTCTCTCTCTCCTTCTCCTCTGCCTCTCTATTCGTCTGGCCTATCTGTTAGTCTTCTCTCTCTCTCTCTCTCCCTCTCTCTCTTCGACTCTCTTCTCTCTTCTTCTATCTCTCTCCCTCTCATCTCTATCTCTCTAGCTCTCTCTACCTCTCTCTCTCTCTATATCTCTCTCTCTTCATGCCCTACTCTCTCTCTCAGCTCGTCCTCTCGGGCGGCTGAGTTCGGCACCCCCCTTTCGTCACGCCGCAGTACCGGGCCGCCTAAGCGTGTGCCCACCCTCACACGCAGCATCCCCCCCCCCCCCAGGCCCGGCCCGCAAACCGCACTCTTCTTGTGTCCGTAGGCTTCCTCAGCACCGACGACGACGAGGCCTGGGGCAACTACGGCCTGTACGACCAGAACATGGCGCTGCTGTGGGTGCAGCAGAACATCGCCGCGTTCGGCGGTGATCCCGGCCGCGTCACCATCTTCGGCGAGAGTGCCGGCGGTACCTCCGTCCACTACCAGATCATATCGCCGCTCTCCCGCGGTCAGTGCCGGCCGAGATCCGAACACCCCACGCAGCGGGGCAGCTGATTACCGCTTGTCCGGGGCGCAGCGTAATAACTGAGCATGCTGTCAGCCCGTGGCGGGCATCCGGTCTGTAACTTATTAGCATCCGCTCACTTCTACGTATCTATTGGCATGTAGGGGGCATGCCTCGCTCCACACACCCGCACAGGAAGCCCGACATCGGCAGTTCACGTTCCGCGTGATATAACTTGGAATTGAAATCATGAAGATTTATCAAGCCATATCTGATTTCCGCTGAGATTTGTCGCTGAGGAATTGCTATAATCTGGTGCGCCGTTGCAGTCAGCATTATTACTGCGTTGCTGGATAGGGAATATGAAACCAGGCGACCATATGCCGACGAAAAGCCGGCATAGTGATGGCACTACACAATGCACACCGATCAAACATTTTTGATATGAATCCCGACTTTATTTTGAGAAGCTGCGCTCGGGTGTGTCCAGCTGAGTCATCAGAAGTGCTGAGGTCGCTTTTATCTCCAACTCGAAGTCGTTCAGTCGGAAGATCAAAGAGCCAGAAGAGCGCTTGGCATGGAGGACTGCGATAGCGTCTATCCTCTCACGCGTTTGCTGAAGCTCGCTAAGCGTCCGTGGGGTGTCTTTCAAAACTGTGGGCTATTTTTTACCTGGAAGGAGCAGGAGGGGAGCGCTGAAGACTCGAGGTCCGTTGTTGGTCAGCGCAGTTCAAATGCGAGAAATTCGACCTCGTAAACAGAAAAGGCGGAATGCTGCCAGGCTGACACAGGATCGCCGTGTGGTCTGGAGTGGAACTTGGCATACATTACCACGCATTCCGCAAGTTCGGCAGTTGGCTCCCTATTCATCAAACAGCTGTTAGGCGTCTGAATTCCTGAGGTGCTGCAGGACAAAAGACATAACTACAAGCCGCTGTCCGTTTTTCGTTGTTTTGACTGCTGCACACTTCTAAAATACCTTTCAACCACGCCTACCACCAAATACACTCCACCCATGCCAAAGGCCCACCTATTCATACCATTTGGAAGCGCTGACGCTCAGCTCGCAGTCCAGCTTAACTTAAAGTTTACTCAGCACTCTAGCATACTTGGCACTTGAAGTTCACTTAGCTTCCACCATCTCCCTTTAGAGTCAGTGATACATTTCCGACCGCTGTTTTCACATGACTGGCCGCGACAGGGACCCGCTCGTGGTGTGTGTCCACCGTGACCTTGATTCGTCGGCGCGCGTGACGCGTGCCCGTGACCCGAGCCAGGTCGCGACACGTGCCGGCAGGCCTGTTCGGCCGCGCCATCTCGCAGTCGGCCACGGCACTGGTGTACTGGGCGAACGGGGTGGACCAGCGCCACGTGGCCGAGCGGCAGGCGGCGGTGCTCGACTGCCCTACCGACACAAGTCGCCAGCTGGTCGACTGTCTGCGCGCCATCCCGGCCAAGGAGATCATCATGTCGGGTGACAAGGCGTTCAAGGTGACGACGGCTGCCACGTGCAGGGGCAGGGGGGGGGGGGACGACGAGAGCAGACCACTCAGTGACTCGGCGGTGCCTTGCCCCACATATTTATCCATTCCGTGAAATGGGATGCATCCTCCGTTATAAATACATTACCCATGGTGGCGTGCGCCTTAAACTACTTAAGCGGCGTCGTCCAGTGTCCATGTACCCACCATGTCACAGCGGTGTATTTCTGGCTACAACCCACTGGCTGACGCTCTGCGTCGTGTCCAAAGCTCTGGTCCATCTATCCGGCCACGTTCACATTCCGGCCGAACGTCGAGCCGGGCGTGGAGGGCGCCTTCCTGCCGGACGACCCGCGCACGCTGCTCGACGCCGCCGACTTCAGCGCCGTGCCCTGGATCGCCGGCGTCAATCACGACGAGGGCGGCACGTTCGCCAACTGTGAGTCCCGCCGGCACACGGCCGCGCCGCTAGCCGCGGGTGACGGGGAGACGATTGTGTCGCGGCGATCTTCCGGCACGGACGCGGCGGCGTCGCCCGCGGAAATGATGACGCTCGTTACCGCGACTGGCGGGTGGTAGCCGGAATAGACGTCCGAAGCGGACGCAATGGCCGCGCCGCAGCTGGGTGTTTATTAAAGCGCTCGCAGTGGCGGCGCGTGTGGGGGCGCCCCTTCCGCTGAGGACAGCTAATTACGGGGACCACTTCCCACAGTTCATCTCCTGAATGCCTCGGCGCTGGAAGAGCTGCGGAACAAGCCTGATGAGATGGGGCCGCTCTGGCTGGGGATGCAGAACACAGCCAAGGATCCGGCCGACATCTACCGGCGAATCAAGAACTTCTACTTTGGCGATCAGGAGCCAGGCCTCACCACTGCGCATCAATTCAACAAAGTGAGCGGTCGTTAGGCGCCGAGTACGTCTGCGGGGAAGATTAAGAGCATCACACATGTCACAAAAAAACGCTTACTTTTAGCCTTTCAGGTGCCTTGACGGAGCGCTGCAGTGATGAGGTACATCCGACGTCCAACTGGTCACACCGAGCGCTTCAAGCGTGGGAAGTACAAATGCCGTGACCCTCGCGGCAGTCAGCCACCGATGATGAACGGCTCTGCATCGAACCGTTTCCCGTGCGTCCCCCTTGCGACACTCACGTCGAGTGGCGGAGACCTAATGTCACCAGATCACTCCGGGGCTCCATCACCTCGGAGGACATCGTGTTACACCTATGAAGGAGGACCGCAGGGCAAAAACAGTTGTCAAATGCCAACTGCACAACGTTCTGATGTTTGCCGTTGATTACACAGGTTCTGGACTTTGTTTTCGGATACTTTTCCGGTCGCTGGGCGCCCCACTGGCATACACTGATGCCGCCAGGTGGAGGGTGACCGATACTTTCTGACGGGCGTGGACGCAGCCGTACGGGCCCACGCCCGGGCCAACCTGGCGCCCGTCTACAAGTACGTCATCGAACAGGCGCCCAGTATCGCGTTTCCAGGCATGCTGGCCGGATCTTTTGGCAACAAGGAGCTGCAGCACTTTCCCTGGGGTACGTGCTGCATACATTCTATGTGCTCGGTTGTTACGCATATGGTACGCATATGTTTGCGCCGGAAGAGGTCAGATGACGTAACTGAACTCAAACTGTGGTCCCCGGATGTCTCAGCATAGCGAGATGACAAAATTTAACTTACGTCACAAGTCAACTGAAACCATGATAAGCAAGTACCATTGTTATTGTAAGTATCGGTTAACGGGAGGCATGGTTGTCTTGTGAACAAGCGTAGCAATTTCACGCAATGCAAGCAGCTTCAACGGAATGTTCCTGCACCAGTACACTGTTCGTAGTTCCAATGTAATACGAATAGCCGGCGGGTCGTTGGGTTCCAGGCACGTGCCACTTCGACGATATCCGGTTCCTGTTCACGGGCGAACTGTTCCCGGATGATCCCACCGACAAGAAGTTTGCGCGAGCGCTGACCAACATCTGGGCCAACTTCGCCAAGACGGGCCGGCCGACTACCAACCTGGTGGATCTGCCAGAGTGGGAGCCGTACAGCGAGGCCCGCCAAAACCACATGCGCCTCTCGCTGACGCCAGCCGTCGGCGCTGCCGCCTTCCAGGAGCGCGTTCAGTTCTGGCACGGCCTGGAGCTGGAGGAAGGCTGGAGGGCGCCGCGCACACTCCGCGTCCGGGAAGGGGGTGCCACCGGAGCGGCGCGCGACGAGCTCTAGGCGGCGCCAGTTCCGGCGGCGATACGGCTTTGGAGGGGAGCGCCAGGTCCCGGAGGACCAGAGCGGCGGGACGACTCGAAACAGGCCGGAGCGAGCTGAACAGTTGGGAAATGGCACATGCAGAAGGCCTCAGTCCCCTGTTTAGGTGTGTACATACCTTATAGCTCCGAATGCTCAGTAGTGGTGACGGGACTGTCTGCATCACAGCTCAGTGCACTAGGCATACCTCATTTTACCTCGTAGGAAGAACGTTTTCCGCACGCAAGTGTCGAAGAGCAGACGCCGACTCTGGTACGTCTCTGCTGCTATTATATGCCGTTGTTTGCCTTCATCCGTTATGCTGATCTTGTGCATAATGCTACATGAATGGTACCGCGCACCGTTTCAAAATGCAGTTGGGATCGCTGCCATTCTGCTGCTCAAGTAGCATGCCGTCTCATGGATATATTGTATGGATGATTCTTGGGGGTTGTTATCAATTAACGGATGGGTTTTATATATTTTGCGTAGCATTTCGTGCAGTTTTATTCGCTAGGCAGAGATTGGTGTCTCCCCATAACTTTTGTTCAAAGTGCGTCATTCTTTAAGAAGTGCCTACTCTGGATGAATAAAAATGGTTCGTCACAATCGTGTTTCTGTCTGAGCCTGTTCTTTTAAGACAGCTGGAAACGACTGACTGAGGGACGCCGGGACTCGTCAGCTTCATGATGGGACCCACCACAAAGTGTTAGAGGGTGACGTTTGACGGCTTGTGACCACGATGATGATGTTTTGTGAAAAGCTTATCTTGCTGTGCCTTGCAAAGACCATTGACGGGTCGCTACAGCTTCAGTGCCCTCGCATTGCTAACATACTAAAACATCGAAACAACGCAAAACACCTAACACGGCAACAATGAAGTGAATGGAAAAACACAGCGACTGCAAATTTCATATCATTGGATTATGTATTGAAATAACAATCCCGTAAACAGCTGTGCCGTGGCGCGATGTTAACAGATATTGTTCATCTTGTACGCGCCGCCAAAAACACGGCTTTCAAAATCAGTAACAACAGCATTCACAGTTATGAGCCAAAGCCACACGAAGACATGTGGACTGGAGTCTATCACGTCACATTTCTATTCGCATTGCTTCAATCACATTGCTAATGGGACAGGAACATGCATTAAAACGCAAGACGAGTGATAAAATATTTCGGAAATTGGCAAACAATCGGAAGAGGCAAAAAGGCTCTATTTCAAAAACTACAAACAATTATCAGCGATCCATCTTGATCTAGTGACTAGCGTATTCAAACAAGTCCCAGCAAGTTCCAGTAATCAGTATACGAACTCAAGCTTTCAAAAAAGCTAAGACGACGAAAGGAAACAATCCCACAATGCATTCTGGAAGACTACGGGAGCAAAACGTACTCCAGGAAGATGTTCACTATGCTTATAGCAGTGAAGCCGCCCCCGCCGCATTGGTTGAAAAGCTCAGGAACTCTGCGTTAAAGCATTATCAAACGTGCCATCGATAACCATGAGCTCGGTCAAAATCAGGAAAAAACGGCAGCATCGTTGAAGGTGCCCAAATAACAAGTTCAGACACAAACGCAGTAAACAACGTGTCACGGTACGTAACGCGGTCATGCCCGTACGCTTTAGAGTAAAAAGATCCGTGACCTGCTACCCGCATTCCTCGTGGGGCGTGCCAGCGACAAAAACCGGCCACTACGCTACTCATCACAGCAACTTCAACGAGACAAACCTAGCGGGCCTAGCGCACCACGTCGTCCGTGACTGCGTCCCTTGTGCTGACTTCTCCTCGGGTTGAGATGTGCGCCAGCTTGCGGAACGTCTTGTCCAAGCCGAAGTCGACGAGGTGTCAATCGGCTTCACGATGAACGGGATAACGGCGAGGCCGGCGGCGGTCGTCAGCCGCTTCCGCATGGCCATCGGCAGCGCCGTGCGGCCCAGCGTCCAGTACGTGGCCGCGCAACACGCGGTTAATGGTGAAGCCCGGGATTGATGACCGAGGCGAGCGCCTGCCAGAGCAAGCGTGTCCACCGACACGTGCAGCAACGCGCGTGCGACGCTCAGCATCGCCCAGCGGCAGCTGCAACAGCGGCACGCCCGCACCGGCACCGATAGTTACCGCACTGCATGTCGTGGGCGCACATCAGTTTGGGTCCACGGGGAAGCGCCAACTCAGAATGTGAACACGAAACGTACGAGTCAAATTTGCCAGTATCTTTGTCCGAAAGTCTGGAAAGTCATCTCGGTACTTCAATTTGTTTTTGGATATTTGCCACAATGCCGCCACATCGAGGCATGTAATTTGGAAGCTGGTTGCGTGACATCCATTATGCGGACACAGTTTAAACAGCATGTAGACGACATTGCATGAGGGAGAATATGATTTAAACCTATTTCAAACCAGCGACAACCAACGCTACGATAGTTTCTACGCGTTACCCAGGAAATAAACACATTTACAATGCGACGTATTAGTATCACTGGATGCAGCACATTACCTGAGGGTTCATCAACGTGCTGCACCAAGTAAGGATGACACATGGTCACACATCACCCCATCACTCAACACATACGACCCATGACACAACGTGTTTCTAACAGTGCATACCTGTGCAGCTTTGCCGCCTTTATCATATGTGTCTGCCCACGACATAAGCACTGGCCACGCCATATGATGCCTTCACCCAGAAAGGCGAAGACCCAGACACGGAACGCCTCTCCCAGTTCATTTGCATAGCCTGTGAACACATCACACCGTGTTTTTCAATCACATTGTTAGGAAAATGGGTACCAAGATGATGGTACAATTTTACTGATGACACCACCATTTATACAGATATTTCAATTCCAAGTTAAATGTGGCACATTGCACTACCATGGAACAACACATACTAAAATGGTGTGAAAATATGATGTGAGGGGGAAGGGAGAGAACAAGGTAATTGGGCTCCCAACAATTGCTGAGCTAGCAATCCACCCCTGCCCCCCCCCCCCCCCCCCCCCCCCCACCTGAAGCTAACACTGGCTCTTAATACCTGGCATCAGACCATGGTATTGCACTGCAAGCCTAAAAATTGATTCCATACATATTTGGCTCCCTGTGAGCTTCACTTCCAGTAAACCCGTCAGTAGTCACATGATGCCAGTGATGAGCTGATCCATTGACTACAGGGACTAGCATACACAAAAGACGGTACAATTCACATTTTGCTTCCTCATTTCCTGGGCAGGGGAGATGTACGTTCCCTCCAGACAGATACACAAGTGAACCTTAAAACACACTTATCATTTTATTGCCAACTTAACTGCTTTTTGTGCCATTATATCTTTCACCAGTACATTGATGGAACACACTGCACAGGATTAAATAAAAGAACTAAATTGAAAATACAAAGAGACAGTATAAATAAAAAAGTTAAAACCAATATTATCAACTGGTTATCATGATTCAAAGGAATTATTAACCATCAGAGCATAATATCTAAATAACAAGAGTTATATTGATATTACAAAGATAATACATATCATATTAGGAAATCAACATCATGTGGAGGACTGAAAGACAGTGGTATATATGGTACATCAGTTACCTAGTATAGTCGATTGGAGTATCTCTGTAGATATCCCTTCACCATTTCCAGCATCTGCATGATTCATGTCCTTGGAATGGTCAGTGACACTACTCATGGTGAGGTTTGCAGGGATGTTCAAATCTGTGAAAGCATTTGGAACAATTGACATGAAAATGCAGTGTGCATATACGAGGTCAGAAGGAAGACATCGATGAAGCACTACACAATGGCAGCGGTTTCACAGACGTATTGACAGAACTTCTCGAAATAGGTGACAAAAAGATAGTGCATAGGTAATGCAATACTCCCAGCCTGAAGTTGTTTAACTGCATGACCTGGTAACCCAGCCCATCCAGCACCTGTATCTGTTTGGCCTGGCACCAGCTGTGTGGAAATTAACCATTTTACACAAAAAACAAAACTGCTGACTTCAACTAATCTTCAACTGAAACTTTACGATTGTGTCTGCTTGAATTTGACCGGAAGTTTATGATTGCTTCCCAACTGAGCCATATCTTTTGATTTTCTGGTACACAATGATAGCTGAGTGGGTGGGTGACATGCTGCTCCTTTGGAATGATCTGGGATGCTGGTGCCAGATTACACAACTGTGCATATGAAACACTTACATATCACCATTTGAATTTGAGCAGCAGCTGACTTTCTGTAAACTAGACTGGAAATAAAGCATCATGGAATAAAAAAGCACCCATTTATTCCAGCTGATAGCCCAGCGCACGAAGTTCAATGGTGTCATTAACACAAGGAAATTCCAGCTTTTCTCACACCGCGCTCCATACGCAATTCATCGGGAAAATATCTTCAAAACGTATCGGAGGACGTACCAGATACAGCCTACAGTTACACCAAAATCCTGCAAAACTCGGTCTTAAGAGACAAGAACACTTTGCGAGGGAGCCCTTAAAGCTACAGATGCTCAAAATTGCGGTCGAGTGAATCATCCGCGCTCCCACACCCTGGATTTCTTTGAACTTGGTTACGGTCGGCTTATTTAGTCACAGTTGTGCCATATATGTATTCAAAGAGAAAAAGCAGCTCAGTACTAAATTAATCTCATTGTCCGGCCGTTTCGTATACGCGGTCTAACAGCCATAAACAAAGCATTGTAATGATTGGCTAATTACACAACATAACCATAAAACTAAAAATACAAAAAATTGTGCTGGTAGACTTGATAAATTCTATAAAATGTAAAAGGCATATAGTTTTCGAGGCATCTCGAGGTCCTTGGCTGAGCCGCCTTGGTCCAGCCAAAGGTCCTCAGGCCATAGACAAATGGGAGAAAACGCATACAACGGGATGAAGTTAAACCCATCAAACACCCAGGTAATAACTAGCTGTTTGGAACATGCCAGCGCATCAGAAGTCTATCTTCCGGGTAGGTTTTCATGATAGGCTCATCACCGCAGTGAAGGAGATGCAACGATCAGGGTGCTATTTTGATATCAAACTCTGTCTTGGGCATCATAACTTCGCACCATTGAGCAGAAGTGCACTGCAAAATGAGCTCTAGTTGTGCTTATGCATCACCGTCATCTGACGGCAAAGAAACCCATGTGTGAAACAGTGCAATCACCAGTGCTGCCGAGTGTGCATTATTGCATCAATGTCATAGGCACAGCGGGCCAGTAGCGCAGGCAAGTGGAGAGGAGGGCACAAGGGGCACGTACCGCCTCCTCCCCCCTTAGGTTCGGAGGGGCCCGGAAAGTCCCTCGGGACCTGCGATTAAGGAACAGATTTGAGGGACCGAAGGGCCCGAGAGGCTGCCCAAAGGTCGCACTCAGCGGCCCCGGCCCGTGGGGCCGGACACTCCAATGCCAGCCAGAGGACTACGCGCGCTGATCGGGGGCCCCTGAGTCGACAAGGCCCTATACGTAGGTCAGGCACCGGCCTGAGGACCTATTTGCAAGGAGAGACAAAGCCGGAGCCAGCAATTTACATTGGTTGGGGCCCAGCATCTGTCAGGGCCCCGCAGTGTGGGCCCCGAGTCGGCCGGAGGGCGGTAGGCGGTATTC